AAAGGCGCAGGTTTCGGTTAGCTCACTAGTAGTAAAAAAGCCATGGCTTCTACCGACAGCTATACTCGTGACCAGGGTCAACCGTTACGTTGGACCGACAGTGGACCGACGTTGGACCGAGAGAGAGAGCCATGCGTTGGACTTTGTTCAACGGACGGTTGACCCTGGTCGTGACGTTGCCCAGCCTTACCTTCCCTCCGTCAACCTCAATGATTTTCAACGTGATTAAAAAAGTTCGGGGATGTGGAGCAAGTGGAACAGTGGAAGCACAGAAAAGACATAAACAACCAAACACAAGTATAAGCTAGCTTAAAGCGATCGTAGTCCTGCACTGTATTTGCCGTCAATAGGAAGAAACAGTTGTTCTCCGTGTTACCTGTGTGGATGGGGCAGCGTTTCGTGTAGCTTCCTCTCGCTTCAGTTTCAGCTCTTTCAACCTTTCCAATCTCTTTTTCGCAAGAATCATTCTGGTCCAAGACTGAAATACACACTGTTAGTGGACTGCTTATATATTTAAAAAAAACAATAGAAGTGAAGAGCATTGTCCAGCTCCAAAAATATACAATGTGTCTAATATATCTGAAGGTACAGTAGCAGAAGATCGATCGAATTGAAGTGTCACGGCAATGATAAGGCAAATTTGAGTATTTTCGCTATGACGGACTTTAACAGTATTTTTGACGAAGTTGTTCCAACACTATTTTTGACGAGGTTATTTTGAATTGTAAATTGTATATTGTTCCATACGGATAGGTTCACATTCACATCTACGACACTTTTTAGATGCGTATCCATGATAATACGAAAAGCAGAAATGAACCGAACTGAAAAATTCGTAAGACTTGGAGAACATTCGCTAAAGTGAAGCATATTTCACCATTGGGTGAGCGTCGCCGTTTATCGCCGTGTGGTCTGTAGAAGAGATACAAAAAATTAGTAAAATAGTAGCGCATGATTTCGGTGAGAAACGCATGCGCCTCGCGCTGTCGTCAACGTGTTGAT